TACCGACTCAGCTTGCCCTCCAGCTCCATGCCAACAACACCAGGTCAGCTGTGGCTCTTCTCATTCATTAGTGCCGACGTGCTGCTGGCGCTATTTGGGTCTCATCAGAACAGAACCTTTCAAAGTTCCTGCAGAAGACAGCTTACCTGTGGCCCTGTGTGTCCCTCAGCGGTGCCAGTACCTACTCCTACCTGTTCAACATGAAGACGCGGATCCCGGGATTCCCACACTGGGTGGAGGCGGAGCACGCAGAGGACCTCCAGTATCTGTTCGGTAAACCGTTCTCCCTCCCGCTGGTCTACTTCCCCCGACACAGAGACCTCTCCGGCTACATGATCGCCTACTGGACCAACTTCGCCAAGACCGGGTAAACTCCCAGCTTGCACTGAGACCACCAGCAGGGGTCCAACTGGGGCAGCACACATCTCAGCTTTACTGGGTTTTAACTGACTGCTCAGTCAGCTGGTCTGAAATGGTCAGAAGAAAAGTTTACCCAGTTTGTTTAAATGTTGCCTTTCTGGCTGCACTGGTCTGGTGTGACACACTAACTGGTGTGAACTGGTGGAGGCAACTGGGATGGATTAACTAGACTTTATTCTGGCCTGATCAGTAGGCTGATTATGAAGTGGTAAACACTTCATAAAAATATTTTAATTTTTGGTTCAGATCAACATGTCTGCAGTAACTTTAATGATTCATTCAGAAAGTGTGGAAACAAGGAAAACAAGTGGTTTTATGGTGATGACGTTATATAAACTGATATGGATAACCCAGATCCAACCTGAATTAGAATAACTTGTAAATTGGAGCCAAATTGATGTCTGCCTAATGGATTTGTCTGTTTAAAGTGGTGTGAACTGGTTTAAACTGGTATGATTTACCCTGATAAAGGAATTTCCTTTTCTCTCCAGAGACCCCAGCACAGGGAACAGTAAAGTCCCGGTTCTCTGGCCCGCCTTCACCAAGTACCACCAGCCGTACCTGGTAATAAACAACTCCATGAGCAAGTCCTCAGTCAGGTACCAGAATCCTCTGGGATTATTGCTAATCTGTCCTCATCTCACACATTCCTGTTTTATTCTAACCTTCAGAGCTGTGTGGTCTGATGAATCTGGGAAACACTTCATAGATCTCTTTCCAGATTTGAGTGTGAGGATTATAAACGTGATAAAGTAAATTTTTTTTCTCCGAAGAGTTTTTGCGGTGGCTCGTTTTTTTGTTTGTTTTCTTTGCGACAGTAGGCAGACAGGAATGAGGAGAGGGGGGAAGACATGCGGGAGTCAAACCCGTGACCTCCGGATTGAGGACTAAAGCCTCCAAATGTAGAGAGTGTTAACCCCTGCACCACCATAAACGTGGTCAGATTTAAACATAGCAGAAAATATGTGAAGGAGAAAGTTGGTCAAGTTTAAACAGGAAAACTCATTATGTCTTGACAATAAGCGATTTCTCTAGTCGAACACTTGACAACCTCTGGGATCAATAAGGATCCGGTGGGATCTTGTCAGAGGACGTGAACGATATCCAGATCTTTGTCATTGCTTCGTTCCTCTTCACTCTGCTGTGTTTTATTTTGATCCTGAGGTTTAACGTCTAAAATCTTCCTCTCAGCTACAACCTGAGATCGTTTTACGTGAAGTTCTGGACTCAGACCTACAGCCAGCTGCCGTCTGCAGGGATGATGGAGGAGAAGAAACGTTGACCCCTTGACCTTTATCCAGACACATAAATGAGATCATAAATGAATATGAAACCTTCTCTGTTTGCCCTTTGTGTCTAACATGAGTGTACATTAATTGTCCTGTCACATTCATTTTACACCGTGTTCCAAATTATGATGCAAATTGGATTAAAGTGTCATAAAGATCCATTTTTTGTTGTGCTATTAAATGTATAGATGGTTTTGTGTGTCTTTGAATCACTATAATTACTTTCAGAGAGCTGCTTGATCACTTTAGCTCAGTCAAAGTAAATCTACTTCAGAAGGATGTTCCACATTATTCATCAGGATTCCAGCAACATGGGAGGAGAAAGAATCTGCTGATGAAACCATCAGAGAGTGTAGAGCCGCAAGACAAGCTATGAAAACATGAGATATTGAACACTGAAGCGTTTTCATCGTACTGTGAAGAGATTTGTGGCTGATTGAGAACAAAGATGGTTTACAGATAAAGACTAAAGAGGAAAGTTTCTGTTCGGTTCCTGGAATCAAAAGATCAGCTGCTGAAATGACCTTAAAGCAGCAAACAGTTAATAGCCTCAAGGTGGAGGATCCACAGGGGCCCCAACCTGCTACTGGGCCCCAACCTGGTACTGGCCCCCAACCTGGTACTGGGCCCCCAACCTGCTACTGGGCCCCTAATCTGCTACTGGCCCCCAACCTGCTACTGGGCCCCAACCTGGTACTGGGCCCCAACCTGCTACTGGGCCCTAATCTGCTACTGGCCCCCAACCTGCTACTGGCCCCCAACCTGCTACTGGGCCCCCAACCTGCTACTGGGCCCCAACCTGCTACTGGGCCCCAACCTGCTACTGGCCCCCAACCTGCTACTGGGCCCCCAACCTGCTACTGGCCCCCAACCTGCTACTGGGCCCCCAACCTGCTACTGGGCCCCTAACCTGCTACTGGGTCCCCAACCTGCTATTGGGCCCCAACCTGCTACTGGGCCCCAACCTGCTACTGGGCCCCAACCAGCTACTGAACCCCCAACCTGCTACTTGGGCCCCAACCTGCTACTGGACTCCCAACCTGCTACTGAACCCCCAACCTGCTACTGGGCCCCTAACCTGCTACTGGGTCCCCAACCTGCTATTGGGCCCCAACCTGCTACTGGCCCCCAACCTGCTACTGGGCCCCTAACCTGCTACTGGACTCGCAACCTGCTACTGGGCCCCTAACCTTCTACTGGATTCCCAACCTGCTACTGAACCCCCAACCTGCTACTGGCCCCCAACCTGCTACTGGGCCCCCAACCTGCTACTGGGCCCCTAACCTGCTACTGGGCCCCCAACCTGCTGCTTGGCCCCCAACCTGGTACTGGGCCCCCAACCTGCTACTGGGCCCCCAACCTGCTACTGGGCCCCTAACCTGCTACTTGCGATATTGCAGAGTCATGTCAACCAACACAACCCAACAACATCCAGAGCCTTAAGAAACTCTGGGTGAATCTCATCCACCCCCAGGGCCCTGCCACTTAGGACCTCATCCCCAGATCGTCCCCAGAGGCTGGAGAGCCCCACCTAGAGTCCCCAGGCTCAGCTTCCTCAATGAAAGGCATGTTGGTGGGAATGAGGAGGTCTTCGAAGTACTCCGCCAACCGGCCCACAACGTTCCTATTGGTCAGCAGCACGTCATCCCCACTGTAAACAGTGTTGGTGCTGCACTGCTTCCCCCTCCTGAGACGCCGGATGGTGGACCAGAATCGCCTCGAAGCCATACGGAAGTCTTTCTTCACGCCCAAGTTTTTACCTGAGCAACCACCCTAGCTGCAAGCCCCTTCGCCCGCCGGTACCCATCAGCTGCTTCCGGAGTCCCAGAGGCCAAAAAGGCCCGATTAAGACTCCTTCTTTAGCCTGACAGCATCCCTCACCAAAAGTGTCCACCAAGGGGTTTGAGGGTTGCTGCCACGATAGGCACCGACGACCTTGTGACCACAGCTCCTATAAGCCTCCTCAACAATGGAAGAATGGAACATGGTCCACTCAGACTCAATGTCCCCTGCCCCCCCGGGACATGTTCGAAGCTCCGCCGGAGATGGGAGTTAAAGCTCCGTCTCACAGGGGACTCCACCAGACGTTCCCAGGAGACCCTCACAACACATTTGGGCCTGCCAGGTCTGACCGGCATCCTCCCCCATCACCGGAGTCAACTCATCACCAGGTAGTGGTCAGTGGACAACTCCGAGCCTCTCTTCACCCGAGTGTCCAAGACATACGGCCGCAGATCCAATGAAACTATGACAAAGTCAATCATCGAACTGCGGCGTAATATGTCCTGGTGCCAAGTGCACATATGGACACCCTTATGCTTGAACATGGTGTTCAAAAATAAAAGATCCTCCAGACTGAAATAATACATAAAACGGGAATGTCATTATTTCTTGCGGCCCGGTACCGGTTGGGTTGGATTGGATTGGGTTGGGTTGGGTTGGGTTGGATTGGATTGGATTGGGTTGGGTTGGGTTGGATTGGGTTGGGTTGGGTTGGGTTGGATTGGATTGGATTGGGTTGGATTGGGTTGGATTGGGTTGGGTTGGGTTGGATTGGGTTGGGTTGGGTTGGGTTGGATTGGGGTTGGGTTGGGTTGGGTTGGATTGGATTGGGTTGGGTTGGGTTGGATTGGGTTGGGTTGGGTTGGGTTGGATTGGATTGGGTTGGGTTGGGTTGGGTTGGATTGGGTTGGGTTGGGTTGGGTTGGATTGGATTGGGTTGGGTTGGGTTGGGTTGGATTGGGTTGGGTTGGGTTGGGTTGGATTGGATTGGGTTGGGTTGGGTTGGGTTGGATTGGGTTGGGTTGGATTGGATTGGGTTGGATTGGGTTGGGTTGGGTTGGGTTGGATTGGGTTGGGTTGGGTTGGGTTGGATTGGGTTGGGTTGGATTGGGTTGGGTTGGATTGGATTGGGTTGGGTTGGGTTGGGTTGGATTGGATTGGGTTGGGTTGGGTTGGGTTGGATTGGGTTGGGTTGGGTTGGGTTGGATTGGATTGGGTTGGGTTGGGTTGGGTTGGGTTGGATTGGGTTGGGTTGGGTTGGGTTGGGTTGGGTTGGATTGGATTGGGTTGGGTTGGGTTGGGTTGGGTTGGGTTGGATTGGGTTGGGTTGGGTTGGGTTGGGTTGGATTGGGTTGGGTTGGGTTGGGTTGGATTGGATTGGGTTGGGTTGGGTTGGGTTGGGTTGGGTTGGATTGGGTTGGGTTGGATTGGATTGGGTTGGGTTGGGTTGGGTTGGGTTGGGTTGGGTTGGATTGGGTTGGGTTGGGTTTGTTTGGGTTGGGTTGGGTTGACACACAGTGTGGCCTGTTTACTGAATAACGACTACAAGATGACATCATTCAGAAACTAGTCCAGACCAAGTTCTTGGTCTGGTGGAACTGGGGAATGTCCTCTCAGATGCAGATTTGTTCATACTAACATTTTCACCTGACTTTGCCTAATTGATGAAATGACCAAATTAGGTCAAAGGTCACTCGGCACATTGAAACGATGACATCTGCAGGATGTGGCATTGAATGTTTGTGTATGTAAAATATTTATGAACACTCTTGTTAGAAGTTATGCATGCTGTAATTTTTCTTACTTTTTATATGTATCAATAGATCAGATTTGTGTAATTTAGACGATGCAGATTCCCACCAGCAACAATTGTTGCCGAGTATAAAACCTACATTTTCATTAACATAACCAACATAACAATTCATAAATATCATGTGTTAGGGAGGACCAAGGATTGAAATGCATGCACTTATTTTGCAGGAATAAATTTGGGATTAAATGGGTTAATGAACATTTCCTTTTTTCTTGATATTATTTGATATCAGCGTCATGAGAGTAACAGAGCTTTATTGTTAAATATTATTTTACTAATTGCAGGATTTTCAATCTTTTCACTGAATAGCTGGCATTTTGTGCCTGCAAATATTTAGCACCTTTTATATCTAAATTAGGTGAATTTATGACCGGATCGTTTTTCCATTTTGCCAGATTACATAGCATTTATACCTAAATAACAGCCAATCCAGGTGATCGGAGGATCTCTAAGTAGATCCCGTTCTGCAACACTCAGTGGAAACAAGGCATCAGTTTGTTGGAGCTGGTTATAAGTCCACCATTTTGGATCAAAGCAGTCATGCTGACACTAGACCAGCTGCAGGTCATATGATCTGATTCGGACCTGGTACTGAGTCAGAATATCTCAGATTAACAGAGTTTTGCTGCTCTGGTTCCTGACTGGTTCTGTCCTGGTTCTTAAATGCTTGGAGTCGGTTTTCTCTGCAGGACTTATTCCACTAAGTTTATGTTCTGCAGCATATCAGCCTGTAGATTCTCAGAAAAAGGAAGCATCAACCCGCTGATCTCCTTGATTGGTGTGTCACAGCTGAAGCTCCACCTGCTGACAAACCACAGAGTCGAACTTCCTGTTAAACCGTCTGCAGCTTCCACTCTGCAACTTCTCTGCTCTGTTTCCCCTCTATGTGCATCTAATGCTCCCAGTTACAGTTTCTAAAACATGAGCAGGTAAAAGACATTTCAGTCTCAGTTCAGCTGCAGGAGCTGCTCTTCCTCCTCCGTTCTCAACACAACCACCAGGGGGCGCTTCGTTAGCTTCGGTTTCAGCTGCTGGAGCCTGAAGGGCAGCAGCTGCTGAGCAGTCCAAGTTCTGATGAGAAGCATCAGACCAGGGGAGTCTGCTGGAAATGAAGTGATGAGATAGAAACAACAGGAGGAAGAAGAAGAAAAAGCAGGAGAAGAAGAAGGAGGAGGAGGAAGAGGAGAGGAGGAGGTCCAACCAGAGGAGCGGCGACTTCTGCATCAGGAGTTGCAACAGAGACAGACAGCAGGAAGCGCACATGACACCCTGAACGTCACTCTGCTTCAGCAGCGAGACCCTCTGGACCGGAGCCACCTGAGACCGGTCAGAACCGAAACACGGGTCCAACAAAACCAGAGCAGAACCAGAAGGGCTGCAGGAGGAGGAAAGCAGAAGTTTAAGGAGGTAAAAAGAAGACAGTGGAGGCAGACGAAACCCGGATCTCTGACCAGAACCAGAACCAGGGAGGTGGTGCAGAAAGCGGTGGAGCAGCTGGTGGAGTGCGATGGAGGAGGACATCAGGAAGCAGGGGATGCTCTTCCTCCAGCAGCAGCGTTTCGGGAAGGTAAACCCTGCCAGGAACCTTGTGGGTCAACCTGACGGGTTCTGACGGCCCGGTTCTGACGGCCCGGTTCTGTTTGTGTGTGTGCAGAAGTGGAAGCGGGTGTGGTGCGTCCTGTACCGGGACAGCTCCTGCTCCATCTCCAGGATGGAGTTCTTTGAGTGTAAAGATGGAGGCAACGTGGAGAAGAACGACAAGACTCTGCGCAAGCAGCAGGAGAGCAAGAAGGTAACGCCCTCCTCCGTTTCCATGGCGATGACCCCCGTTTCCACGCCATGACCCCCGTTTCCACGGCCACCAGGTGATCCGGCTGGCGGACTGCATCCGGGTCTCGGAGGCGGAGGTGGACGGCGTGCCGCGCGACACCGGCGCCTTCCTGGTGGAAACCACGGAGAAGATCTTCGTGTTCGCCGCGGATCGGAACCAGCTGGACGACTGGACCCACCGGCTGTGCGAAGTCGCCTTCCCTGTAGGTACACCCGGTTCTGATCGGCCCAAAACCCGCTGATCTGACCCACAGCCCGGTTCTGGTTCTGATCTGACAGACACGCAGACAAGAAACAGGAAGAAGGTCCAAGACCGGTTCTGAGCCAGACCCGTCCTCTGAAGGTAGAACCAGCTGAGGTCAGGGGTCACGAAAGGTTGGTTCTGGTTCCTCTGGCGATCAACTGGACCACGACCAGAATCTCAGCCGGTCCACATTGATTTTCCTCCCATTCTACCAGCAGAACCAGCACTGTGGTACCAGACGGTTCGGCTGGAACCTCTGACCCAATCAGAACCGATCAGAACCAATCAGGATCTGATTCTTGAGGGTTTCTCTGTGAGATTATAATCTGGATTATCAGGGAAGCTGAGCAGCAGAATCTGATCTCTGCTTTTAGTTTCTGCTGCAGATGATGATCTAATCGTCATCATAGATTAGATTATAGATTATAGATTATCAGATCCACTGCTGGACAGGATGTTGGTCATTTCTGAAGGAAGGAAATCGGTTTAATCTGAGATTTAAATGACATCCTGGTTAAAATAACTCAGAGCTTCTTTACTTGATCAGATCAGTAATCCACTGATCAGGTTCTGGTCAGAGGTTCTGGTCCAGAAACAGTCGGGTCACAATTTAAAGCAGGAAGTTTGGAGCCATCCAGGTTTTAAAGATGCATCATATGATCATCAATGTGTTGATGGTAGAAGATAAATCAGTCAGTCTCAGCAGGGCCGGATCTCCATGGGGGACCGCCGGGGGCCACACTTCATGTCCTTAAAGCTTACTTATAAATATTAAATTTCTGTTTGTCCAGATTATTAAATTAAAATATGAACTCAACCAGAGAATATGTTTGTAAATGTCGTGTTAGGTCCCTGAAAAATGATGTCACAGGAACATTTCCGAGCCTCTGAGCTGCTAACAAGCTTAATGCTGCTCAAAGAGCTGAACTGTAGCAGTTTAATGCGCCTGCTAGCTGCTAGCCCACAATGACTGACTGGACTCTGATTGGTCGGAGCCTCAGCCTCCTTCCATTAGCATCCTTTTTTGCAGTTTATTTGTTTGGACCCAAACCTTCACTAATGGCTCTATGATCAACATCACAGCAGAACCAGAACCAGAACCAGGTACAAATATTACAGTAAAAAGCTGCTCTCCAAGCGAGAGGTCTCACTCTGACAAGAACTGCTGCTCTGATGCGTTTCTGGATAAAACTTTTGTTTTTCATTCAGAAGTTCATCATAAATACTGAAGCAAAGGCTAAATGTACGTAAAACTCCTACAAGGACTTTTGTTTTCTCAAAACGTTGCTCACGTAACTAAGTAAATGTAACTCAGAACCTGCTGATACCGGGTCAGCAGGTTCTGGTACAAGCAGCAGGCCTCTTGACTCACATCGCGACTTCCCCTTTAAAGGAGCAAACAGGAAGTCCAGGCAGCCAATCAGAGACGAGGAAGACTGAAGAATCAGAACCTGGACTAGAATCAGAACCAGGACCAGAACCAGAACCTGCTCAGGGTTGGACTGAAGAGAAAAAAAACACAAACTAATAAAAATTATATATATTTTAATAATAATAATGATGACGGTTCTGATGGAAGGTCCGTCAGACCTGGAGGTTCTGGATCAGGTTTATTCGTTTGCAGAAACGCCTTGAAGGAACTTGTTTCCTGTCGATTGGAGCGATTGTTTGTTTCTATGCAGACGATTCTGTGACGATAAATGGATTTGTGTCCCTCAGATGAGCTGGACGGAGGGCGGAGCCAAGCGAGGCAGCCTGCAGCGAGGAAACCGGGTGGAGGAGGAGGAGGGCATGGAGGACAACTCCCTGTACAGCGGCCGCGAGAAAGGTAGGACAGCAGGACAGCCACAGACCCTCAGGACTTCCTGTTTGCCGTCAGGACTTCCTGTTTGCCGTCAGGACTTCCTGCCTCGCCTGGTTGATCAACCAAACAAACGTTTGGACCCAGCAGTACCTGAGGTTTGACCTTTCACCTGTGAGCTGAGCTGCTCTCGGTTCTGGACGGGTCAGCCTTGTTCTGGCTCCTGCCGTCCAGAACCCAGGGCAGGTTGCATTCGGTTCTGATGGACCTGCAGACGTGTCTTCAGCGTCCTATTAGAAACGGGTCAGAACCGCAGCTGACCCGTCTTCAGGAGGCGACACGGCCCACATCATGTCACCACCTCTACCAGAACCGGGCTGCAGCACCGACCCATCAGCAAGATGTTCTGCGTTGAATATTTCTGCTATTTGGACCAGAACTGGACCAGAACCGGGTCTGCCCGGATCTGTCTACAGAGATTGTCTCTGTGCGGTGTGACGATCGGATCTCTGGGCCGGCCGGTTCTGGTTCCGGCCCGAGGACAGAAAGAGCTCGCCGACCCTGCAGGAGTTTCCACTGCGGTCGGCGCTGCAGCTCAGCGTAGTGGAAACTTTCAGAACCGGTTCCTTCCGCGGTCGCAGGCCGGCCAAGCGCTGCAGCGACGCAGACACCTCAGCTTTTATCTTGGCGGGACAAGCTTCCTGTTTCTCAGCAGGAAACGCTGACATCAGCCGAACCAGGAAGCTGTTGTCTTCAGCTTGGACTTCCAAGAGGGAACCGGACCTGCAGGTCGTCTGTCGCCACAAACCGGCTCTTTTATGAAAAGTGAGAAAATGTGAAAAGGAAGAGAAATAAGTTTGAGAATCTCAGAGTTTCCTCTAAGCACTTCTTATAAAGTGTCCGGTTCTGATCCGGTTCTTTCAGAATGTCTGGACCAGACACTCACAGTCAGAGTGGTTCTGGTTCTGATCTGGTTCTGGTCCTCGTTCCTGTCCTGGTCCTTGTCGATCTTCCTCTGAACATCTCAGCAGCTCAAAGCTTCAGGAAGCCACACTTCTATTTTTAGCCATTTGGTTCTGAGCGGTTCTGAGCGGTTCTGCCACAGGTCTGAGGTCAGAGCAAACGTCTCCAGAAGCTGCTGCTCCACTTCCTGCAGCACCTGCAGCTCCGCCGCACGCTTTCCCTGAACAAGAACAGCTTCAGTTCATCTGAGACCAAACTGCAGCCACCGACCCAGAAGTCCCTCTGTCAGGTCCAGAACCAGAACCTGAGACGAGACGAGGAAGTACGTTGAAGCTGCGACTTGTTCTGGACCGGCTGTCTTGGTTCTGGACCTGAGGAAGATCCGGGGTCCAAACCGAGTCTCACTTACCTGCTGAGCAGAACCAGGAACAAATTAGTTGCAAGCTAGTTGTACCTATAGGTACCTATAGGTGGCGCACATTGATCTGCTGATTGGCCCAGTAATCAGCGAACTGGGCCAATCTCCCAATGGGAGAAAACCCTGATGAGGCACTGAATGCAGATGAGAATCAAGTTGCACTGATCCTGCTGTTCTTCAGTTTCATTATTTCTGCCAAATTGAGTTTGTCAACCTGTCAGCTCAGCAGGTTGAGCTGCTTGTTGAAGCCTGTCGGGGTTCCTCAGGGCAGCCATGGCTGCTATAGCTAGCCTTAGCTAGCTCTCCACCATCAGCAGGTGAATGTGTGTGAATGTAGCTTTGGAGTCCACTGGCTTTGATAAAGCTGTGTGGAGCTGCAGGCCGTTCACCATGTGTTGCTCAGTGAGTTCAGATTAGAACGTTGGAGTTCACACAGCTTTGGATCCACAAAGATACGAATGTTTGTAGATTTTATAGTAGCAATTTGGGACAAGATTTGTAGAAACCTTTGCATAACACTAGGTGTTGGGGGCGTTAAAAACTTGTTAGCCTTTATCTTTGGAGCAGTGTTAAAACATTTTATGTGGTTGCAGTTATTTATCGCCTACATCCTCCTGGGACGTCGAGTTTTTACCAGCTGACAAAAGTTTCTTTCACTTCTCACTGGCGGAGCATTTCTCCACAGATTCCTTCCTGCCAGACACGACCTTCCCCTTAACGGGAAAAATGGAATCAATAATGATGCAATAAATAATCAATGCATGTGACCAATACAGTCACTCAGTTGTGTTTCAGAGGCCTGTAGAGTTCTGGACACTTGGTCCCAACGCGGCGCCACAAATGTCTCACAAATTATTCATCAAACTGTGAATTTATCAAACGCTTTGTGTGACACAGTGCGGGACTTCAAAGTGTCTGTCCGGAGGACGGACGCGTCGGATCGGTGCCGGCTGAAGGGGGACGGTGTCCTGAAAGCCGACATGGACGCACTGCACCTGATGGACAAGACGGGGGACATCCTGTACACCTGGCCATACCGGTACCTCCGGCGATTCGGAAGGGACAAAGTAAGTCCCTTCCGTCCACACGAGTCTGATGTCCTCCTCAGGGGACATGGGGCAGAGAGGGACGTGGAGCGGAGAGGGACGTGGAGCAGAGAGGGACGTGGAGCAGAGAGGGACGTGGAGCAGAGAGGGACGTGGAGCAGAGAGGGACGTGGGGCAGAGAGGGACGTGGAGCAGAGAGGGACGTAGGGCAGAGAGGGACGTGGAGCAGAGAGGGACGTGAGCAGAGAGGGACGTGGGGCAGAGAGGGACGTGGGGCAGAGAGGGACGTGGAGCAGAGAGGGACGTGGAGCAGAGAGGGACGTGGGGCAGAGAGGGACGTGGGGCAGAGAGGGACGTAGGGCAGAGAGGGACGTGGGGCAGAGAGGGACGTAGGGCAGAGAGGGACGTGGGGCAGAGAGGGACGTGGGCAGAGAGGGACGTAGGGCAGAGAGGGACGTAGGGCAGAGAGGGACGTGGGGCAGAGAGGGACGTGGAGCAGAGAGGGACGTGGAGCGGAGAGGGACGTGGAGCAGAGAGGGACGTGGGGCAGAGAGGGACGTGGAGCAGAGAGGGACGTGGAGCGGAGAGGGACGTGGAGCAGAGAGGGACGTGGGGCAGAGAGGGACGTGGAGCAGAGAGGGACGTGGGGCAGAATAGCTTCACCAGGGCTGCTGAGCGGGTCTCCTGTCTGCGTCTCTGCTGTCCTCAGGATGGACGGGGACAGTGTCTGGGTTCATCAGCAGGGGAAGCGAAGGATTCTGGTTCTTGGAGACCAATCTGTTGAGCTCTTGAGGTCGATGGACACTGTCCTTTGTTGTCCCAACCTGCCTGTTAATGGCGTCCAGATCGGCTGATGCTTGTCCTTCCAGTTTGATCTCGTTTGTGTTTATCTTGATGTTCAGATGTTGAGACCAACATCTCCAGAATAAATGTGTCATGATTGGACACTTGCAGGTTTTGTGATGCTGTTCTAGTCCAGGACAGAATCGCTGATGCTAAACAGCCATTTTGTTCCCTCCAGTCCACCTTCTCCTTCGAGGCGGGTCGCAGGTGTGACTCCGGCGAGGGAAGCTTCGAGTTCGACACCAAGCAGGGAAACCTGCTGTTCCAGGCCGTCGAGGCCGCCATCAACCTGCAGAAGATCTCCCTGCCCCACAGACAGACCTCCGGAGGGGGCCCCATGGCCCCAGAGACCGGCCCCAACCACCACAACCTCACCCTGCCAGCCCCACCCGCTAACCCCGCCCTGGGCCACAGCCGGACGCCGCCGCCCCAGAAGCAGCCCCGCGTCCAGGTCCAGCAGGTACATCCTGGCCTTCACTAGAGGAAAGACTTCAGAATAAAAGCATTGTTTATATGAAACATGCATTTATCATGTGATCAGTTTTTCTGCTACAGATTCATTTATTCATGTAAATGTTGAAACTCAAGGAGGCAGCAGGAGTTTGGGAGTCTCCCTGTGAAGGACATTGTGTGTTGCTGGACTCTTGGCCGGGTCACAGGTCAACCCGGTATTGTTGTGTCTGCAGGGTGATGAAGGTGTGTACAGCATGGTGACGGAGCCTCAACACCTGCAGAAGATCCATCACAAAGACGCTGAAAGCTGCAACTCTTCACAGCAGCAGCAGCAGCGCCCCCAGCTGGTAGGATTCAGTACTTGACTTACAAGATAAACAAACATGAAACGTCTAAATGCCCAGGACTATTGTTGATGTTTAAGAATGACCTTTGACCTGGATGGTTCCTGCTGTCTTCAGGCCCGTCTGGAGCCTCCAGTGGATAAGATGCTGACCGGCGTGAAGAGTTTGACCCTGGACACCCGCGGCCTCCCCGTCCCCAGGAAGAGCCAGGTGAAGATGATCTCCAGCTGCCCGTTGCCCAACGCCAGCCCCGAATCAGGCGGCAGCCAGCTGCCAGGGCCCGGCTCCAGCCCCGCCCCCGGCGCCCGCCTCAGCCCCAAACTCGCCTCCAACCCCAACCTGGAGCAGACCTACTCCCAGATCAGCATGGCGGACGTCGGCGGGCGCGCCACCAAGAAGGACAAGAAGGGCGGTGGCGCTGCGGTGACGGGCAGGGATCCGGACTACTCGCTGCCCTTCGACACCCTCGCCTCCAACATCATGTCCGACATCCTGGCGGCGGATCAGGGCGGTCCGGGCGCTGACCCGCTCTACGACAGCATTGACGAGATGAAGATCCGGAACATCTTCCGGAGCGAAGCCAGGACAACAGACAGGAAGGTGGACCACATCTACGACGAGCCCGAAGGTTGCGCGGCGGCCACAGGGTCGCCGGCCGCGCCGGCCGCGGCTCACCCCTCGGTCTACGACGACCCAGAGGAGATGAGAGGAGACGCCTGGAGGATCATGGGTACCTCTGTCGACCCCAAAGGACACGAGTATCCCTACAACCCCCGTGTGGACGACTACGCCGTGCCCAGGAGGCCCAAGAGGGCATTTGCTTCCCAGAAGAGCATCACTAGTGAAGAAGAGGAGCCGCAGGAGGAGGAGGGCGACAAACAGGAGGAGCTGGAGGAGAAACAGTTTTCACCGTACGACAACCTGGTCATGAAAATGGCCTAAAGGAGACAGAGCCGCCGATTCCTCCACCTATCGCCTGGCTGGACGGAGGACATTCAGTAACTTGGCGAGCTTTATGAAGCAGCTTCCATGTTGAAGAACCTGGATCTCCATGGATCCCTCGCTACAAAGATCTGTCGCTGCCTGCAGCCCAGACTGCAAACCATCTGAAAAACTGTAGCTTGAGCTAAAGCTGCTGTTGTTGTGTGACTGCTACCCTCTGCAGCTAACCAGCTATGCTAAAGTCATTTTTCCTGTGTCCGTCTAATTTTGACCCGTTTCATTTTACATGATGTCTTCATGTAGTTCATGTTTTGATGTCATTAAACAGAACCGATCAAGCTTCAAGTCAGACATGTTGGATGTTTTATCTGTTCAGTGAGATGTTAGCATGCTAACATTAGCTTTGTTAGCCACATCGCCCCTAAAGTTAATTCATGCTTCATCTGAGGGGTCAAAACCGGGACGGTTCTAGAGGACTCCAGACGGTTCTTTATGGTTCTGGAGCTGGCTGGACTCTCTGCTGCACCAGCAGAGGAACCTGCTGCGGTTCTGGTTCTGGTCGTGTTTCTGCAGGTTTGTCTGTGAAGCCTCCAGGTTGGAGCAGCCAGTGGTTCATCTCCGTGTGAGCGGTTCCAATCGGATCGTCGTGTCTGAAAGTTTCTCTTCTCTCGCCTCGGGCCGTCGGCGCTCTGATGCCTCTTCCTGTTAAAGTCACAGCTCTCTGAGTGCTGTTGCTCTCAGGTCAGAGGTCAGCTCTGGCTGATGCTGCGACGCAGGAAGTGACTTTAACTAGGCCCCAGGTTGGGTGAGACGTGATGTTTTATCTCTTGTAAAGCTGCTTCATGGAATATTTCAGGCTGTCTTCCTGTCCTGATCTGGACCATGAAAAAGTTTCTGCAGCTGCTGGTAATAAATAATCTAAAACATTCATAAATGTCATATTTTGCTGTGAATAATATGACAGAAATATGAATATAAATAAACCAAATCATGATGAGATAAAATCAGTGAAAACAGGCTGAAGTTTTCTGATCAACCTTTTCTCATGGAGCTCAGCTGTGCAGTGAGCCGCCTCTGCCAGCAGGGGGCAGCAGAAGCTAGCAGCTGTTAGTCTGAGCTTCTTCTTCTGAAGCAGAGGTTCCCAAAGATTTCAACAGAGCCCCTCTAGATTACAATAAAATCAGAAAAAGAAGAAACTAAATAATCTACATTCTAAACTTGAACTGAGAAAATGGAGAAATATCTCCTACAAAAACATTTTGAGTTTCATCAGTTATAAGGTTCAGAACACTTTTCATCCTCA